GCCGATTCACATGGGTAAGTCGAATCCAGCCCAGAGGTTGTTCTGTCCACGACGCTGGGGCGCGTTTTGCCCTCGGAAGGAAAGAAAGCGGGAATGGCCGCTCCTGTGCGGCTACAGCCAGATATATCTCTCTGAGCACATCGTTCACAAGGAGTGGCGGGGTCATTGAGGATATCCTAACTTGAATGGTCAGTCTCTGCGATAAAGCCGACCGCGTGTGTTACGCACCAGCACCGATGCGATTGTCAATATACGGGAAGCTCTCTCGGTACCCAGTCCCGCGGGGCGTGCAATCCGGTACCGGAGTTGTATTGATGATGGAGGTCTGGCAAGAGAACGTTATTCAACACGAACAGACACGAACGAGCTGAATGAACCCTAATGAACCGGGGGAAACTGGCACGTGCAGAACATGTTCAACCGAGTCCGCAGACATGTCTGGTTTGACGGAAGACCGTCACCACCGTTATTCAAACAGCATCAAATGCATGTACATAACCATGCTTCAGGGTTATACTACTCCTGCGGGCTATTTAACCGTCTGGCTTACACTATACATATTTTCTGCTTCAAGCCTGGCCATCTGATATTATTACGAGCGAGTCCCCACGCACCCACGCAGGGCTTCAACGTTCAACCAGCTCCGCGCTTGCCAGCCCTACGCACGTATCAACCTCCGGTTGCAGATCTTAGACGGCTTCTGAGGGGTGTCCGACCTCTTCATGTGGATGCTGAGGTTGAGGCCTACGAGCGAGCGCACTTGACAGGACGTCGGGACGTCGAGTACGAGACGCGTGATGGACTGCAGGACAAGCGGTGCTTCGACTCCGGCCTCTGTGACCTTTTGCGCGAGCCGCCGCGCACCACGAGCGGGCTCACCGCGCGGGTCTGTCACCATAGCCGCATGCGAGCTTCTTCGGGTCTCCCTGTCTGAGCTACCACTCTCAACGGAAGCTTCCGCGCCGGCGAGCAGCTCAATGATACCGTTCCGTGTGTGCACCCACGCTCTTGACTTCAAACCGGTAATTGGCCCTTTTCCTCCTTTGACGGTATATATGTTCCAGACTTGTACGAATGAGGTTGCGTAACCGGCGGGAGGGGTATCAATCACATAGGACTTCTCGGAAGTAGTAAGTACATACAACTATTTGGGAGTCGTGATTATACAAGCGACCATGTTACACCCGATCATCCCGAACTTCGCAAACGAAGGCCTCGAAACCCTTCATGCGTTCTCCAGTAAGGCGTTCGCAGAACCTGGACGCACATTCCATATGACCCTTGCCCTTCTCCCCCTTGAACGTCAGACGGTTCAACTTTCTGTCCGACATAGCGACGCGATGAGCGAGTGCTTTGCGCAGCTGCGAGATCCACTTGCAGTTATGGTAATTGCCGATCGCAAATTCCGCGGCTTCTGACTCTGACATCAGAGTCTGGCCGTAGAAAGACGTGTCGATCACGATGCGGGATAACTTCGGGAGGATGAGCGGGAAAGAGCTGTCCAGAGCCTGTGGACGCGAGAGGAGCGAGAAGAAATGATGAGAGGGCCTGTGCACGATGAGCTCTGTCACATTGCGCAGCCCCGGGCCCTTGAGAGGCTCATACGCGTCGTCGAGCTCCAAGTCTGACCCGCCGTAGAGTCCGAAGAAAGGGATGCACAGCGTCGTGATGGGCTGAGCGGAGAGGAGGTCCGTGAGGGCATCGCGCGAGATACAGCCGAAGGGCCACATGTTCGGGCACCCGCCAGAGATCTGGATTTGTGTCGTCCCACCGGGCCGTGCTTGCAGCCCGTCGTCTTGATGAATGGCATACTGCGAATGTCGATCGCAGAGCGTGAAGCGCATAAGATATGGCACAGGGCACCGTAAGTCCCACACGAGCGTGTTGTGGGGACGCGTCTCTGAACGACATGAATGGGATAGTGCAAGACAAAGCTTGAGCAGCTCGTTCCGCATCTCTTCAACCCCTGCTAAGTCGTCTGCCTTCAAATCTAGAATGAAGGAGAGGTCCGTCGTAGATGGGACGTGTAGACGCGGGAGTAAAGCCACGACACTGCAGTCGGTGCTCGCGTTGACGAACGAGCGTAAGGATTCTAGTCGCAGTTCGAACGGCGCCTCGGGCACTGGATAGGATATAGCTTCTTTCAAGCAGAGGTGGAGATCTTCCAGCAGAGGGAACGCAGAGAGGTACCGTAGCACCTCATGCACGGGACATCCTTCCCAGGCCGAGTCGATACGGAGCGCGCGCAGCTTGTGGGCAGCCAGCGGGACGCACCTCGATAGGGTGCAGTGCGTGAGTGCAGGAGCTTGCAGGACAAAGTCTTCGGCAAAGTAGGGGGCGATGATACGGCTTTGCGGGTTCTCGTGGAGAACCAGCTGCTTAAGCTCCGGACGGGCCTGCTCGGCCAACTGCGCGAGCCATAGGTAAGTTGGCACGCGCGAGTAGAACCCGACCCTGACGCGTTTCGAACGTCGCAAGAGGTGTTCCATCATTGCATCGCCAGGGTAAAGGCAGATATCGTCGAGATTTAGAGAGAGAGGGACGCGCTTTGCGCGCCTCAAGATCTCTTCGAGAGCGGTGTCCGGAAAGATGCTGATAGACTCGGCCCAGAGAATGCCGCCTGAGTTCAGGGCAGCCTCGCGCCATAGTCGACAGACATGCGTGACGACCGTCCACCCAGGTCTGAACCTGCCCGGGTAATGGGTTATAGGACGTAGGATGGTGAGGATGGTAAAGATGGAGAGAAGAATCTCGTGTGGTAGACTCTGAGCAGGCGATCCAGACATAGCGGTGAAAGCCATGTGAGATGTGGTATCCGGTGTTGAAAGAGAGCGAATTGGATGCGTGTTTCGTAGTGAGAGTATGATTGATGTTGTAGAACTTATGAGTCGTAAGCTGCTCTTATATACAGCTGAAGTCCATCTTATTCCCAATATGAGATTCATGCTAGGGCTGCTCGGCCGTCCTCCTGAGGGTTTACAACACTCAGGCGGCGATTTGTGCCGTTTTGAGTAGAGGTCGGAGGTCAGTGCTGAACATGCTGGCCACAGAGAGGGTGAGAACAAGGGTTGAAGCTGAAGTCCAAGCTCTGAACTTAAGGGCGCCACTGCAGAGGAGACAAGGTTGAACTTATAGAGCGAAGGAAGGTCCTAGGATGGGTCGAGCGCGACGGAGTTTTGACATTGCGCATTGACTTTCGCGGACCATCGCGGACCAACCCTTGAGGCGTATGAGGGGAAATCAAGGCTGCGTCATTCGGTCGAGAATGCGGTGATGGCTGACGGTGAAAGCCGACTTGGGGAGTACTGAGGTTGCGCCCTGGAAGTCGTTCTTAACAGCGGATGATGATTTGATATCAAGCGAAAGCAAGATGAGTGCGGCATGGCACAAGCATGGCAGGCAGCGTGAATTGTGCAGCGACTCCGCATGAGCGCCAGGAAGCAATCCGCGCGCGTCGGGCACTGTCGGGCTAGAACGCGCGACATGATCACGTGCGACGCGTCGCGTCAATCTCACGGCCGTTGAGTTCGAACGCGCCCCCTTGTCGCCCAACCACAACGACGCCGCCGACGATGAAGAAGCGGACACACGACCCAGACTCGGACGCCACATCCTCCGCGCCCACCTCGAAGCGTCAAAAGATGGACGTCGACCTCAGCCCGCTCCCACCGGCCGAGCTGGCGCTCGCGTTACCGGGCCTCTTGACGCGTCCGCCCACTCACCCCCAGCACGCCGCCGGCCTCTCGCTCTCGCGCGCGGCGCTGCACAACCTCCTCTCTTCACCCTCGAACCTCTCAACGGGATCTCTAACGCGCGCATGGCTCTCCCTGGCCGAACTATCCATCCAATCCCTCCCCCTCCTCCTGCCCTCATCCGACGAAGAAGAATCAACGACAGCCGAGATTGACCGCGCACTCTCCCAAGGCTTTGCCCTCGCGCCGAAGAACGAGAATGGTATAAACATGAAGACACAGGCTGTGCTACTGCAAGTACAGACGGGAGCGGGGAGGGGACCGCGGACGCGCTCGGAGATTTCGAGGCGCGACGAGTCGACGAGGGCTTTCAGTCGGTACCAGGCGCCACTTTTGCCGTTTCCTGCTCCATTCTTCCAACCATCTCTTGTCTATCATCCGTTACCCGTACATCATGCTCGCTTCTGCCCCTGTATTCGCACTCGTAATTTACGATACACATGGGTTCAATCTTGCATGAAACCTCGACTTTCGTTCATCGCCTCATCAAGAGTATTTAGACCGGGGCAGGGCAGTCGACATCAACCTTGTGCCCCCATTGACAACCTATTCCAGATCGCGTCAAGTAAGTGCATGGTCGTATACATTGGTGGCTAAAGGTGTAAGGAAGGTGTAAACCCTCAGATAAATTGCAGGCACCAAAGTAGCACCGCAAGAATACAGAGTACAAGCACCGCAGCAGGCCACGTAGAGTATGCCGTTATGATGATGAACAGGGCCAATGATGTTGATGCTAGGAAAGTCGACCATCGCGGGAGCATTGAAGCGATGGCGAAGAGCATGTAATCTCCTCCTCGACGTCTGCCTCTAGCGCGAAGCTCATGCACGATTAGTCTACGAATAGTACTGCCAAGACATAGAAGCCACTCACAACAAAAGCACGAGTATCCATCCCCGAATATTGAGAGAGAAGGGTCGACGTAGCCATGATACCGATGCCAGCCGATACAGCGGATACGACAAGACACCGCTTGGTAGTCTTGTCGACTGTGAAGTCGGTTTGCGAGGAGAACCCGTACACTGTTATGTCACATCTGCTACGAGTGTCAGACTCCAGCTATCACGTAACCCATGCAACAAACTCACGCAGATATGGCAAGTAACTGCGGTAATAAACCCGGTACCAATCAGCCATCTTTCAGAATGAGAGCTGATGTGAAGGTCACTGACGATGATCCTCATGGAGTGCCAGTCAGATATCAGCTTGTCGTGAATATCTCTGAAAGCACCAATGCCGTTGGAGTGTTGGGCACGATTTAGGGTTTCGTAATGTGTTAGGTTGCCACATAACCTGTGCAACCACTGTATCCTGACGGCGCCCGTCGCCGGGGCTGACAAGGTGGCAGGAGAAGGCAGGGGCTCGGGTTGACTGACTGATGATACTTCCCTGAGGGGAATGCTTGATCCTAGACTAGAAGCGCGTGCCTGCGGGGAGTGATCAGCGCAAAGTACGAAGAAGAGGTGCACTCTCGGAGTCCTGACACAATCCAGAAGATAAATCTCCCAAATCATACCAATCAAGTGTGATGAACAGATCTTACCATTCTGACTTCGTGCGTCGCATCTTCCTGGAAGGTGTTCATTCCTTCAACAGCGACACCCGGCGCCGCGGCAGTCAATGGCTGACAATGAGACGCCACCCTAAGGGGAGTCACGCCGATATCCTCGACCTCATTCTCGTCTGGGGTTGTGGCATCGAAGAGAATGAGGTTGTACATGTCGTCCAGCGATCGGGTCGCAACATGACCGCCAGGATCAGGTGTGACTGTAAGACGCGCAAGACGTTCCACGGGGTCTCTCTCGATGTACGTCACGGCCCTGGATGCATGAAGGAACACCGACCCATATAACCGAGTGAGAGTATCGACCTGTGCCCGCGGCGGCCAGTCCATACGAAAAGATGGGGAGCGCATGCTGGCGAGAGAATGTGTAATGAACCGAGAGATATCGCTCCTCACAACGGCATGCTCTATATCATGCAGTCGTACGACCTTGCCAACATCAGGATGCATGCTCTCGAGAGTCTCTTGAATATGCGGCTCGGGCCTCGACGTTAAGAAGAACTTAACAGGTAGCCTGTCGACGCACTCTATCAGCCTAGATAACAGGTCGCGTGTGACCGATTGGTCTGAGCATTCGTCGAGGGCATCTATAACCACTATTGGCATGGGATTGGCGTCATGCTCAATGCCAGCAAAGGTTTTGCATAGTAAACGCTCGATCTGTGTCTCAAGATCCCATTCGCGAAAAGAGGAGTCTGCGTCGAGCTCGGCTAGCAATGTCTCGGTGCAGTGGATGTCACGCAACGCCAGGGAGACTGCTATCGTGGGTATGATTCGTCTAACGTCGGCCTGATCGGCGGTCATGCGATAGCAGAAGAAGGTGCCACCAAGGAGACCTTCCGAGCGTAGATTACGGGAGAATGACCGGGCTATGGCGGACTTTCCGGTGCCCGCCATGCCGTTGAGCCAAAGGATGCGCGGCGAGCGAGAGTCGCGGACCCAGAGCATGAGGTCGCGTAAGAGGTCGACACGGGTGCCCTCGAGACACCCATTCGAGTTTTGGGCATCCATATCCGCAGAAGCCACGCGATCGAGCATTCCAAGTAGCCCTACGAAAACCGTCAGGAACGCATACGGATAATCATCACGATACCGCACTCACTCAAAGTGCTGTCGGCGGTACTCCGCTGACGCTAGTACCTGTCAGTCAAGATACAGACACAGGTGTTCAGTCCACATACATCGTGTTCGAGGAAGAGATCAAGTTCTGTACCGAGTATCATTGTCAGAATCAGACATCGACGGTTGTGATCAGGATTCATGGCACACCTTCTTTCATCGCTTTGAGCTCAGACATGGCAACTCTCCAAGATTTGGCGATGGAGGAGTGAACCTCTTCCACGGTGAGCTGGGTTTCTGTAGCAATGGACCGCATATCCAAGTCTGTAAGCGACCGTAGTCGTTTCAGTGCGTCCTGAATGCCCTGATCCTTCGTGATCGGTTGATGAGAAAGAGCTACACGAGTGTCAGCGTCGCTTAATTCTCAGAGTGAAAGCTAACGACAGCGCACGAGTTCGTGTATGTCATACGGAAGGAGGGAAAAGCCGCGTCGCAATCAACAAGATGTCGAGGATACACGCCATGATGGCGATGACGCTGATCTTGGACGCCTGTCCGAGCTCAGCGGGCTTCGCGAGACGGACCAGCAAGTTCTTGTTGAAGAATTCCAGCTCCTTGAAAAGCTCGATGAGCGCCACGCGACGCTGCTCGACTCCATCGGTGGCCTGCAAAACATGAGCAAGCGTGTGACGTGCTTGGCGTATTAGAACACGCACCGCAAGGAGTATGCCCAAGGCTGTAAAGATCGCCTTCCCTCCAGGCACGACGGGCTAGAGGTATATCATCAACGTCTACGCGTCAGGAATGTCTCAAGAACTCACGAAGGACGCCGCTATTTCCGCTATCGCGTCGCTGAAGACGAGCAACGCTTGAACGATCGGCTTCAAGTACTTGTCTCGCAGTTCCCTCCACCTCTTGCTCCCACTTCGAGAGTGCTCTAGCTTCTCGATGGTTTCTTCTAGTACCATGCAAACGTCTTCCACGGAGTTGCAGCCCAGCATCCGTTGCTCCATAGACAACCACCGCGCGGACTTGACATTGTGCAAGGCCTCGCCCCACAGGGTTCTGAACGTATCCATTGGCTCGTTCACTCTCAGCTCGTGATCGATAATGGTCGGAGGCCCGCCAGTCGTAGATCTTGAACCAGGAGCCATCGCGCGTAGTAGTCGAACGAGTTAGAGCAGTGAGGGAATTGAAGTGGTGGTACGAGGGCAACGGGAGATGCGATTCCAAGGACAAGCTAGGTATGGCTGTGCCCTCAGGCGGTGCTCCCATGCATGCGGTAGACATGCGGCGAGGACTTTTTCGACGGGCAGTGATCGTGTTCGAATTCGAGGCGCCGAATTAGAAGCACGAGATGAGCGCCGAAAGTTAGCGCCTAACCTACAAAAGCACTGCCTACTCGCGCAGCTGGTTATGTTCGAGTATTTTCAAGCTTCAAAGAGTGCTCAAACGCCGCGACTGGTATGGTGAACGTTATACGCCTCCGTTGGTCTCGGATGGTGGTGGTCCAATGCTGACACTGCTGAGTGGAACTGAACATTTCCCCGGGCCCGTGCGACCGATTCATCGGGCCTCGGCCCGAATGGGCGTCGGACTATCTTCGAGCATTGAGTATACCTAGAAACTTACCACAACCCGCACCCTCCACGTCACTTGTACCGAATGAGCAATACAGATATGTGAGTTCATTATGCGACCAAAAGTGCAACGTGGAAGAAAGACCATACGTAAGCACTACTGTATGAACGGAACCATCAGATATGGGCATGAGACACCAAGAGCATATGCGAGTACAGAAACAGAAACGCCAACTACCCTCCCCCTTCCTCTTTTCACTGCCTTCTCGCCTTCAGCACTACAACCGCACTCCTCTACACCTTATTCCTCTCATCCTGTCACTTCGCTGTCTCAGAGGAAGCGCTACCGGACAGTCATCAAGTATATACCGTGCCCGCGTAGAAGGGTTGCTTTTGCTAGCGATCTACGAAGGCTGTATCCGTGTCGAAACGAGGAGCCGGCGCGGAGAGATGTCCGAGAGCTACGTCTGTGTATCAGAGAGTGGGTTTGGAGCCGTAGGCAGCAAGGATGGGATACGTACGTTGGCTACAACGCTAGGTGACACGGCTCTCTGGGCTGCACAGTAGTCCACGACCTTGTCTTTGTGTCCTAGTCCGAGTTGCAATGGAGGCTCAGCTAAGAACTAGAACGAGTACGCATAAGCGCGCAAGGACAGTCATGGGCGCCAAAAGGCAAGCGCGCTCGACGCGTTCTAGGCACAACAGGATCACGTGCACCGCGTCGCGTCAATCTCACGGCCGTTGAGTTCGAACGCGCCCTTGTCGCCCAACCACAACGAGCACCGCGACGATGAAGAAGCGAGCGCACGACCCAGACTCGGACACCACCTCCTCCGCGCCGACCTTGAAGCGTCAAAAGATGGACGTCGACCTAAACCCGCTCCCACCGGCCGAGCTGGCGCTCGCATTGCCGGGCCTCTTGACGCGTCCACCCGCACACCCCCAACACGCCGCCGGCCTCTCGCTCTCGCGCGCGGCGCTGCACAACCTCCTCTCCTCACCCTCCAACCTCTCAACAGACGCACAAACGCGCGCCTGGCTGCAACTAGCCGAACTATCCATCCAATCTCTTCCCCTCCTCCCGGCAGGGTCAGACGAAGAGGAGAACACGACAGCCGAGATCGACCGCGCACTGTCCAAAGTCCTCGCCCTCGCGCCGATGAACGAGAATGGGCGGAACATGAAGACGCAGGCTGTGTTATTGCAGGTGCAGATGGCTGCGGGACGGGGGCAGGCGAAGTTCGCGCTGAAGTTGTTGGCGAGGTTGATGGGAGGTTTCACGGAGAAGGACCCGCCTGCGCTGGTACATACGGCGCGGCTGGCGAAGGTTCAGCTGCATCTGTCCGCCCCACGGCCGGCGCCGGTGGATGTGGACGCGGACGCGCCACCGCGGACACCTGCGGCGGATAAAGATCCGGCGATGAGCGAGCGGCGCGCGGCGCTGGACGCTATACGCGATATGCGGGCTCTGGCGGACAAGAGCGGCGAGGGTCACGCGCATGTGGCCCTGCTCTGCTGCGTATTAAGAGCGGGCATCGTTGTCACGCGCGGGCTATGGACAGAAGCCGAGAGCGCGGTCAAAGACGCGGAGGAAGCGCTGGGGCTGACCTACCCGGAGAGTCCAAAGCCCGGCGCGCTAAGGAGGACGAGCACGGGCAACACAGCCGTCAGCGGCTCATCTGCACCCTCTACCACCACGGCCAACGACAAGGGCAAGTCCAAAGCCAAACCCGAGACGTTCGTGATGTTCGAGGACGCGTTCGAGGCGACGTGCGCTGCCCATGTCTTGATCTATTCGGTGGTGTATCACACGCATATAGGCGACGCGACCGGCGCGGCGCACAGGTTGAGCCATCTGCATGCGCTTTTGGACGAAGGCGCGTTGAGCGCGTTTCCGGACGGCGTCGCCGAGGTTCGTCTCTTGTATACTACAGAGCGCTTTGTACAGGTTGCTCAGACGCGCATATAGATACAACTACCCACAGGCCCACCCCTCTGCGTGCGCACCACACCCCCACGCGTCCTCTTCGCCCTCGGCTACCTTGTTTCAGCCTCAGCCAAGCGCGACCCTGTAGGCCGCAAGCCCAAGCGCGCAACTTTCGCACAGGCTGGGCTGGATAACCTGGATGAGAAGGAGGGTCCTGCGTTTGAGTGTATGTCGCTTATACGTGTTGAAGTCGTGACTGTATGCGCTAACAGTGTGTCGTGCAGTCCCGCTGTGGGCGAGTGCGGGAGATGTGGAGGATGCGGGGTACGCTATGATCAGGATCAGGGCAGATCTGTTGAGCGAAATGGCTGGGGTGCGTCTCATACTTTCCTCCCCACTCCTCTCTGGCTCACGGTACGTGCAGGTCAGCATACACCGTAACGACTTCGCCAAAGCAGACGAGGTACGCTTCCTCTCTCCCGACGCACTACAATGTATGCTAACGCGCCCCACAGATGCTCGACAAGCTCATAGCTTTAACCCGCACGCACGGTCTCTGGGACCGCTACGCTCCGCGCGTAACGCTCCATCACGCGCATCTGGCGCATGCTCGGTTAGATCACAATCGTACGTGCCTTCTCTCTCCCCTCCTTCCCTTTATATGCGCTCCCCGCTGATACCCATGCGTTCGGTGCTGGGTGCATGCGCCCCGCCCACTCGCGCAGTCTATATGCGCTTTCCCCCACCCCTCTCCCTCCCACCCCATCCCCGCCGTCACACACATAACTCGATACTGACACTATCTCACAGGCGCGCTCATATGCTACGACACAGCCGCCCACCTCGGCGCCCGCGGCGGCGCGGGCGCAGAGGGCGACTTCATCAACCTCGCCGCGCGCGCTGGGGCTGTGCTGTTGCGCGTTGGGCTGTTGCCGCCGGACGACGACGCCGTCGAGGAGAAGGTATCGCGCGAGGTGGAGGAGGAGAGGGAGGTGGAAGAAGCAGTAGAGGTGGAGGTGCCGAAGAAGGGCAAGGGACGGCTGAAGAAACGCAAGGGCGCTGCGCGGAAGGGCAAGGGCAAGGCCAAAGCCTCCCATTTGGACGACGACGCCACCACTACGACCTCTACAACTACCACAACCTCTACCACCACCACCTCCGCCCCTGCACACACCGCCTCAACATCCACCTCCACTCTCAACACGCTCCTGCCGGCCCAGTGGACCCGCGCGCAAATAATCGACGAAGCCGAGCGCGTGTTTAGAGCGTGCGAGGGGCAGGGCGCGGTGCTCGAGATGGCGGGCGCGGTGGTGAAGGCCGTCGTCAGCGAGGAGATTATCAGGAGCAAGTGCGTCCTATCCCTCTCATTCCATCGCGCTGCATGCTAATGATCCTTCGCACAGAGCCCACCTCCGCCGCGCCCTCGCCCTCGCGACCTCCTCCGGCTCGAACCACACCCGCGCCGCCCTGCTAGCGTTGGGCGCGGCGCACTACGCGCGCACGGACCCGCCGCACGCGCTCGATGCGCTCCGGGGCGCGGACGTGCTCGCCGCGGGGCTCGGCGCTGTGCCCAAGCCTTCTTCCAACGATCCTAATGCCAGTCTCGATGTAGGAGTTGGTGTTGCGGGTGGAGGGAGTGGAGGAGGCGGGCACGGACTGGGCAACGTCGCGCTGAGGTTATGGTGCGGCGAGCGCAAGCTCGAGCTGTTCCGCCGCGCGGGGCCGGGCGAGCGTGAGCGGGCGGGGAGGCAGGAGGAGCGGAATGGGGTGTTTAGGAGGGAGGTTGGGGTATTGAGGGCGCGGGTGCAGTGAGGAGGCGAGTAGGGATGAGGAGTGGGGAGGAAGGGGGGTGGGGAGGGTGGACGGTTGCGATGTCGGGCGCTGCTTTGTTTTCTTGGGCCTTGAGGGCCGTGCTCTGTTTCGATGCTTTGCTCATACATATCACTTTCGGTTTCGTACATGCATATCGTTCTCGGTTTTCATCTTGCACGTCTCGGTCATGCTCAGATACGGTCTTCTTGCACGTTGTACTTCTACTCGCATAATCAATCGCTGAATGAGCTTTCATGTCTGCATAGCTGCATAGCTCCCTACGAGATTGCCATGATCGGTTGGATACAGTAGGGACGGTAAGGTATCGTGAGGGACAGGGAGACCGAGTAGAGCGGGTTAGACGTAAGCTATATGGGGTTTTCGAGGGGCCCGCCGGACGTGCCCTTTGAGAGCGTATACTCTATACCTGTCAGTATGCTGTTTACTATGGACGAAGATGAGCGGTGAAATGCGCGCGTTCGCCACCCCAGGCAAGCCTCGAGGATTGCTCCCGCGGCCTAACCGCGCCTGGTTCATGGCGTTCGCTGAAGCTTCTCTACTTCAGCCTGATATGTACAGCTCCAAGGACGACTTCTCGCATCGGAACTGGGCTTAGCGCTTGGCATGTATGTGCGGTGCGGCGCACTTCATCTCAAGCAACGACGCGGCGGCCGCCTCCGAGCGCTTGCCCATCCTGTGCGGCCCAGAGTAGAGTACCGATGCCGTCCACCGGCAGCGTCACGATTCGAGTGTAGATTTATACGTCGAGTAGCCAAGAATACGGTGGATTCAAGCGTACATTACGCTGATTGTGACGAGATACACGTGGCGAGCTATTGGCTTCGGAGGGAGCCTACAGTGCTTCACGAATAGCATCGAGCGTCAGATCGAACCAGGATAAACCGGGTGGGGTGCAGCAAGTGTTCATCGCGAAGACGCCAATTCGGGCCGAGCCCCGACGCGAAGCGATCGCGCGGGAACCGGACTCAGCATTGGACCACCACTACCTGAGACCAGCGGAGGCGTACTCAACGTTCAAACATACCAATGGCGGCTTACGCGTACTTATCCTGTGAAGCCTGACCATATCCGCGTATATCCGCGTACTTAAGCATGACAAGCTGCGCGAGTCGGCAGTGCTAATGTAAGGCAAGCGCTCATCTTATTCTTCGGCGCCTCGTACACGGTCACACGTCGAAGACCCCTCGGCGCATGTCTGCCGCATGCCTAGGAGCACCGTCCTAGGACACAGCGCGACTTGCGTCGTCCTTGGAATCGCCCCTCTCCCTGTCTTCACACCACCATCTCGCATCCCTGCGATTATCTCACTACTCCAACTTGCTCGAGAACTACGCGCGATGGCTTCTGGTCCAGATTCTACGGATAATGGGCCCTCGAACATCATAGATCATGAGCTGAAAGTAAACGAGCCAATGGATACGTTCAGAACGCTCTGGGGCGAGGCCCTGCGCAAGTTCCAACAAAGCACCAATGTCAAGTCCGCGCGGTGGTCGTCGATGGAGCAGCGTATGCTGAGCTGCAACTCCGTGGAAGACGTGTGCACGGTACTGGACGAAACAATCGATAGACTAGAACACTCTCGAAGTGGGAGCAAGAGGTGGAGGGAGCTGAGAGAGAAGTACTTGAAGCCGATCGTTCAAGCGCTGCTGGTCTTCAGTGACGCGATAGCGGAAACGGCGGCGTCCTTCGTGAGTTCTTGATGCATCTTCGACGCGCAAATGCTGACGATATGCCTCTAGCCTGTCGTACCTGGCGGCAAGGCGATCTTTGTAGCCTTGGGCATACTCCTTGCAGTGCGTGTGCTCTGCAACGGCAAATATGTTGCGCGCATACTCACGTTTCACAGGCCACCGATGGAGTCGAGCAGCGTCGCGTCGCGCTCATCGAGCTTTTCGAGGAGCTGAAAGTCTTCAGCGAGGGCTTGCGCGTACGACTCGCGAAGCCGGCTGAGCTCGGGCGGGCGTCCAAGATTACAGTCATCGCCATCATGGCGTGCATTCTCGACATCTTATTGATTGCGACGAAGCTCTTCTCTCCGTCTGTGTGGCGTACAAGGATCTGTGCGTTTTTGTCGGTATCTGAGAACTATGCGACGCTGACGCTCGTGGAGCTCTCTTTCATCAAGCGATCACGAAGGATCAGAGCATCCAGGACGCTCTGAAGCGCCTGCGTTCGTTCACAGCCATGGACATGCGGGCCATCGCCACGGAGACGCAAGTCACCGTAGAAAAGATCCAGTCCTCTATCCACAAATCTCAGGGAGTTGTCATGTCGGAGCTCAAAGCGATGAAAGAAGGTGAAGTATAACACTGCTCACGGCGGTCGATGTACGATTCTGACCATGATACTCGGTACAGAACTTGATCTCTTCCTTGAGCGCGATGTATGTGAAATTTACGACCTGTATCGGTCTCCGTACTGATGAGTAGTAGCGCCAGCGGAGTACCACTGCTAACACCTCGAGTGCGTTTCGTTTCGGGATGATTATTAGTGTGCGTTTCTGACGGTATTCGTCAGGGCTACTTGGGATGCTCGATCGCGTGGCTTCTGCCGACATAGATGCCCAAAACTCGAACGGTTGTCTTGAGGGCACACGAGTCGACCTTCTGCGTGACCTCATGCTCTGGGCTCGCGACCCTCATTCACCACGCATCTTTTGGCTCAACGGCATGGCAGGCACCGGAAAGTCTGCCGTTGCGCGGTCTTTCTCCCGCACTCTACGGTCAGACGGTCTCCTCGGTGGCAGCTTCTTTTGCTATCGTATGGTCGCAGATCAAGCCGATGCTAAACGAATCATACCTACGGTGGTAGTCTCCCTAGCGTTGCGCGACTCTCACTGCACCGAGGCATTGCTAGCTGAGCTCGACACCGTCTCGTCCGTCCGCGCGTGGAATCTTGAGACACAAATCGATCGTTTACTATGCAAGCCTTTCGTTGGAATCGAGCATGATGATGATCTTATGCCAGTCGTGGTCATAGACGCCCTCGACGAATGCTCAGACGAAATGATCACGCGCGACCTATTGCATTGGCTACTAAAACATGTCGGCAAGCCGCCTGTCGGGCCGGCTGCTCAGCTGCCTGTCAAGTTTTTCCTAACATCCAGGCCCGAGCCACATATCCGAGGGTACCTCGAAGGCATACATTCTGACTTTGGCCAAGTTGTGCGGCTACATGATATAGAACATGTGATTGTAGGCCATGACATCTCCCGGTTCATCACACACTCTCTTCGCAACATGCGCGGGACATTGTGGTCCCCATCTCTCTCCGATTGGCCGTCACAAGCAGACATTGATGCATTGACTCGTTTGTCTGGGAACCTGTTCATCTATGCATCTACGGTGTTGATGTATATCCAGAAAAACCCTGTGGATCGTCTCCATCGGCTCACCGGTACCGTCGTGACTGCTGGTCGTGTCATGACTCAGTCGCTGGATGATATATATAACATGATTCTCTCCGATGCCACGAACGCAGATGAATATGAGGCCGATGAGATCGATCTAACGTGCCGCATGATCAGCGTCATCGTGTCTCTTCGTGAGCCCTTGACGGTCATAGCACTCGCAGGCCTCCTTGACGTGTCTGCAGCCCGCATCAGAGGCTCATTAGACCGGCTATATGCTGTGATCTATGTTCCCTTGCAGAACGACAATGGGTTTCTGTCACCATTTCATGCCTCCTTCGGTGATTACCTCTCAACAGATAATCGCACGCCAGACTACATGAAACCTTACATGCGATCGAGCCAAGCATACATCAGTGGCGCATGTATAAGGAAACTGGAATCGGATGAACTCTGTTTCAATCTCTCGCACGTCACTACATCCTATCTCCCTCACAGCATGCAAGTCCTTTCACGTATCCCTGATGACATGCGTTATGCCTGCCTACACTTATCACACCATATCGAGTGTGGTTATACCGAAGTACCCTGCGACAATGGACTCCTGCATCAGCTTCAAGATCTGTTTATTGGCCCGAAATTCCTTTTCTGGTTGGAGGCATTGAGTGCAATGGGGCGGGTAAAAGACGCTGAGGATAATCTGTTTATTCTGCGAAACCTGCTGGTCACGCATACATCACCCCGGTTTGCATCATTCATAGATGATGCGATACAGTTTTTACAAGGATCCTATCATCTCATAGAGGAGAGTATTCCCCACATTTATCTGTCTGCCCTTGCCTCTTGTCCCGAGACGTCTGCTATCCGCAGTCTCTGTTCCTATCCATTTTCTGGTCTGAAGAAATGTGTTGCACAACCTTCTGTTCTTGTATTGACAATGCCTCACGTCTCGTCTCCGTCTATTGCTCTCTCGAGCAATACGATCGCAATGGCACTCCCCAATGGCGAAATACACACTTGTAACTTCAAGACTTGTAAACGTGCATGCAATGATGGCATACTGCAGACTCGGGGACATAACCCGGTCACCGTGACGTCTTTGTCATTGTCGCCAGATGGTACTCTTGTTGCATTAGGAACTCGCGAGGCTAAGGTTTACCTCTGGGACACAAGAACACGGCAAAAGCTGGCTTGCTTCCAGGACAGCGGATGCGTAAGACTACTACAGTTCTCACCAGATTCTCGTGTTGTGGCTTCGAGCTCGTCCATATGCACAACATTCTTTTGGAGCGTACAAGACCTTGTGCAGACGCGCCCCACTCTTCGTCACGAAGACGCCGTGAACTCAATGGCATTCTCGCCTGATGGTCGATTGTTAGTCGCTCGTACACGCTTTTGCCGTGAGCATTGCCCTGAGGCTTCTAGAATATCCCTGCACAGAGTACAAGAGAATTCCCGTCCGCTTTGGTTTGCGACTCATGACCATTTGTGTTCGGACACGGCTCGTCCGGTGGCATTCTCATCCGATGGAGAGATGATCATATCTGCGAAGAATGATAACCGTGTCTGCGTTTGGGACATGACAGGCCACTTGGTATTCCAACTGAATGTGGTCTCCGACATGGTTGAAACACTATCCATATCACCGGATCTCACCCGAGTAGCCTTTGTAACCCGCGATGGCGACTTGAGCATCCGGGCTCTAGGTCATCTGCCGAATTCAGTTGAGGGTACTTCATCTCGGATAGCGAAAGTAAAACATGTGCAATCAATAGAATTTTCGCTCGACAGCCGTCATCTGGTCGTCCGCCACGATGATTGGCCACCAATTCGCATCTGGAACTTGAGCCTGCATACCGCGCCGGCCAACGACCGGCCAAAACCGCGTACTGCATCCGTTCATCTCCATTTAGGTTTCAATGCGAATGAGTCATCCCTCTCCGCTCCATCTATATCATTATTCGGCGGGAACTTTGAATTCGACCGGGAAACCGGCTGGATTCGAGACATGTCTAGCCATCCTCCCCGCCTCCTGTTCTGGATACCACCAAAGATACGGGGCCGCATATTCCGACGCTCACAGCGTCAATGCATGATGTTCGATCATAGCACCCTCCCCAATGATTTCGACCCGTCCTTACACGGTTCGGACTGGACTAGATGTTATCAGCCTGATGATTGTGACGCGAACGATGCGTAATATCTACATACCCATGTACTTGATCGAGTAGCAGTAGCGATTGGGCTCATGCGAGTCCTGACGTCGAGCGCAGCGTGATCGAGAGCGACGGACCGGAGCTGAGCGCGATTGCACTATCGCGTGGTCCTCGAATGAGTTCAGAGGAGGATGCTATCTATAGGAAGAACCGTCGCATCAGCAAGCAGTTCGCTCGAGTATGGTGAGATGCCAGAAAGAGTACCGGACGGTAAACGTACTTGACCATCAGGCTTTCAGCGTCTGAAAAGCGCCTGAACTACTCTACTGCTCCCACCGTCCGCCGTCTGTTACGTGCAAAGAGGGGACCATGGTGGGAGGGAAAGCAGAAGGTACCTATAGGAAGGAATCATCATACAAGGAATGCTGGCCACGATAATCGTCAGATAGAGGATCGCGGAGGCAGCTGTTCAGAAACATATGTGGACCGTCTTAATGAAGGGGCGTGCTCGCAACCTGACCGGGGTGTATGGTTCGTCGTATGCACTCTCACGCGCCTGAGACCATTCAAGAGCTACCAAAGCATCAGTAGTGCAGATGGATGTAGGTATGGCACGCGCACACAGATATGTCAGACTCCTCTCGGTGTTCGCCGAAACCGCGAAGTCACGGCGTGCTTGAAGGCCATGAGGCAGTGTCCCGCACAGTTGAGTCCTGTATCATGCACATCGCCCGCGCTCGCTCATCGCGGAACTGCACAATACATCATTAGCGCATACACTCGAGTCCCAGGTCGAGCGCGACGTACACTCGGACGCCGGTCCCTCCTTCTCGTCAAGGTTATACAACCCGGCCTGGGCAGAAGTCGCTCGTTTGGGTTTGCGGCCTACGGGGTCGCGCTTGGCTGATGCTGAGAGGATGCTGAGACGAGGTAGCCGAGGGCGAAGAGGACGCGTGGAGGATTTGTGCGGACGCAGAGGGGTGGGCCTGTGGGTAGTTGAATCTATAAGCGCGTTGTAAGCATCCTGCATACAGATAGATGTAATGAGAGAAGACAGACCTCGACCACCCCATCCGGAAACGCACTCATCGCGCCCTCGTCCAGCAACGCATGCAAATGGCTCAACCGACACGCCGCGCCCGTCGCGTCGCCTATATGCGTTTAATACACCACCGAGTACACGAGCACATGCGCAGCACACGTCGCCTCGAACGCGTCCTCGAACATCACGAACGTCTCCGGCTTGGCTTTGGTCTTTCCCTTGTCGTTGACGGTGGTGGTAGAAGGCACAGAGGAGCCGCTAGCGGCTGTGTTTCCCGTGCTCGTCCTCCTCAGCGCGCCCGGCTTCGGACTCTCGGGGTACGTCAACCCCAGCGCCTCTTCCGCGTCCTTGACCGCGCTCTCGGCTTCTGCCCACAGCCCGCGCGTGACGACGATGCCCGCCCTCAGCACGCAGCACAACAAGGCTACATGCGCGTGCCCTTCGCCGCTCTTATCCGCCAGAGCTCTCATATCGCGTATAGCGTCTAACGCGGCGCGCAGCTCGCTCATCGCCGGGTCTTTATCCGCCGCGGGCGTCCGCAGTGGCGCGTCCTCCTCTAGAGCGACCGGCGCCGGCCTAGGTGCAGACAGATGCAGCTGCACCTTCGCCAGCCGCGCGCTATACACCAGCGCAGGCGGATCCTTCTCCCCAAACCCACTCATCAACCTGCCCAGCAACTTCAGCGCGAACTTCGCCTGCCCGCGTCCCGCAGCCATCTGCACCTGCAGCAGCACCGCCTGCGTCTTCATATTCCGCCCGTTCTCGTTCTTCGGCGCGAGGGCGAGCACTTTGGACAGCGCGCGGTCGATCTCGGCTGTCGTCGCTTCTTCTTCGTCGCTTGAGAGCGGGAGGAGGGGGAGGGACTGGATGGATAATTCGGCCAGTTGTAGCCAGGCGTGCGTTTGGGCTTCAGTTGAGAGGTTGGAAGGTGAGGAGAGGAGGTTGTGCAGTGCGGCGCGCGAGAGGGAGAGGCCGGCGGCGTGCTGGGGGTGAGTGGGCGGACGCGTCAAGAGGCCCGGTAACGCGAGCGCCAACTCGGCTGGCGGGAGAGGGCTGAGGTCGACGTCCATCTTTTGACGCTTCGAGGTCGGCGCGGAGGAGGTGGGGTCCGAGTCTGGGTCGTGCGCACGCTTCTTCATCGTCGTCGGCGTCGTTGTGGTTGGGCGACAAGGGGGTGCGTTCGAACTCAACGGGCGTGAGATTGACGCGACGCGGTGCACGTGATCCCGCCGAGTCTAGACTCTGGAACGCATCAAGCGCGCGCGTCTTCTTTGGGCGCCATGGCTGTCCTTGCGCTTACGCCGGAGACGGGATCGTAGTCACTCTCCCTGGCTGAATATGCGGTCGCGCTCCCTCTTCTAAACCTGTCGAAGAAACCCGCCGGCGCAATAAGCCTCAGCCTCGACCCTCGGGTTCGCTGGGCCATGCTGTCAAGAGCTGCTGCAAGTAGCAGGGCAAAGCGGCCTGCGGACAAGCTACCCCAAGTGCGCCTTTTATCTTGACTACTGTCAGCTTCTCTTACACGCGGGCGTAGCGTCTACCCCTCTTCGCTCGATTGGACCTGTACAGTCTCATCCTGGCTCTTTGGCCGCACTCAGGCTTGCAATCATAATCTGCACCAGCTTGCACCTCGGGGTTGGATAACATCGTGCAACCTGAAAAGGACGATCGCAAACATGTTGCGTACGTTTGTCTCCCTGCGTTCTTCCCGTCGGTTTCTCATTCACCAAGCAGTCGGAATGCACTAGATTGAATACGCCCATGAACGTATACCGTCCTTGATGGAGCGCGGCTTCTGCAGCCCACACCCGGTACATACCTCTCTTCAACATGCACGCGCCGTATATAATTGACCGCGACTTCGGCGTACGTCGCGCTCCATCACTCGTATGCGCTGCAACACATGCTAACATACTCTACTCAGGAGCATATGTATCAAATCACCAACTACGGGCTAACAACCGTACGTGCCCACTCTTTTCCTCGCCCATATCTGCTCCCGTATCCCTCCCGGGGGTATGCCCTCCGTTGACTCGCGCAGGCTCTATGTGCTCTCGCCTACCGCTCCTCCTTCCGCGCTGTCCCTGCTGTCTCGCACGCACCTCGATACTGACGGTCCATCTATCAGGCACACTCATACGCTACGGGATAGCAGCCCGCCTCGGCGCAGGCAGGAGACGACTCCATCAGTCTCGCATTGTGCGCTGGGGCTGTACTGCTGCGCGTTGGGTTATTGCCGCCGGATGACGACGTGGAGGCGGCGGTGGGCGGAGAGGAGGCTGCGGAGGAGAGGGAAGTCGAAGAGGCCGTTGAAGTCGAGGCGCTGAAGCAGGACAAGGGCAAGCCGAAGAAACGGAAGGGCGTCGCGCGTAGGGCGAAAGCTTTCCAGTTGGACGACGACGGGGCAACTACCATGACACTAGAAGGGGAAAACTATCGAGTCGCAGGGAAGCGAAGGAGATATGGTGTAGATATGCCAAATGTAAGTCTTAACAAATTGCGGCGCAAACCTTGTAGAAACTAGAGATGTCTCCCCTCTCAATCCATGCATAAGATTGCTGAGATGGTACTCTATTGTCCTCTCGAATGAACACCGAACAAGACCCTGTAGAGATTTGCCAGGATTTCTTAGTGGTCTAGCCAGAGGTGTGCAGGAGGCACTCGTCATCAATCCATCAAGAATCTAGCATAAATCACACAAAAAAATTGTGCATATCACTGTCGTCGCTGCTTGAAGATACATCCCAAAAATTGAACAGATCTTCAAGCTGAATTTCGTCACACTAGTGTCAAAGGTACAAAGCAAATGCACGGAATGGTTCCATCATCAATATCTCGGCATCTGACCAAATAAAATGCCGAGAACACGCAGAGTCCATCCTCGATCATTGATTTCATAACCTCGCTCAGGCTGTACAGAATAATCTCGTCGAGGAAACAGAGGAGGTGAGCAAAGAATCATTCAGAATTATTTCGTGTCCGGATATCCGGAGTCCGGACTTCTGGACATCCGTGTCTGGGTAGTCCGGACATCCGCGCACGGACAACCGGGCTGTCCGTGTACGGCGAGCTATCACTCGAAGGCAGACAACAGGACATCCTTATGCTTTCCGCGCGGACACCGCCGGGGCAGGCCCACCACGCCGCGGTTGGGCGTGGGAGAGCCGAGTCGCAAGTTGCCCTCCTGGCACGAT